GCGCGGACCGCGTGAAACNCCCCTTTTGTTGTCTTTTGACACTTGGTAGCAGGGGATGCATACATCATAATACAAATAGAAATATTTGTATAATTAGTTGCATACAGATAATACAGCTGCATACTACTTCTATAATCAGCTGCATACATATTCAGGGGATGCATACAGCAATATACATTTGTATACATATGCTTACAGATATAAATACTTGCATACAGATTCAAGATACATGTATACAAATGCATAGGGACTAATAAACAACTGCATACACTTGTATACAAATGCATACAGAAACTGTATACATTTGAATACATCTAATGCATACAAATGCATTCATATGCATACAGCAATATACAGATGTTGTAGCCTTCATTATTAATTCTTCATACAATTGCATATTATTTCCAAATCATTAGTGCTGCCTTATATTCAACACAAATTTCAATTTGTATTCTAGATCTACATCTGTATGTTTCTAGTAAGACTTTGATTGTATTTTGTTTTCAGATTGTTTACAACGACATCAGTCCAAGCGATATAGAGCTTGCCGTTATTCAGATTCCTCCTGTAGGAGCCGATGTTGAGAAGAGACCTTCTCCTGCTCATTCAGACAAATCAGGAGAGGATTCGGATGACTTTTCTCCTACACCCGAGCTTCAATGTAAGAAGAAACATGTTGCAAGTGTTGGTCCATCTTCATCACCGCCCCATAAAAAGCGCAAGGAACACGAAAGGCATCCTAATGAAATAGAATATCAACCCAAGATTCCTCATGTTTGTGTATCCGAATTTGGACATAAAGTTTTGCATGACAATCAGCTGCCAGATTCCCAAAATGACGAAGTATCTTCTTTAAGGAAAGACCTAAATTCATTCAAAGAATACGTGAGTATTTAACCACAAATTAAACATTACAGTTTAATGAATAGCATTCATATATTTTTGGCGCAATCTTCTAATTATTTTTGTATTGTTAAGGTTGTAGGAGAGTTCAAGTCTCTAAGAACATTGATCAATGATAACTTCAAGAAGCTTTCTGACCATCTTTACAAAATCAGCAAACTGAAAGTTTACACCAGAGAAAGGAACCCATAGGGAGACGTGATGATGGCATTGACACCGATGTCGGAGATAATGTTGAGGGTTAACATTCTTAACATATTGAGCATTTGTTTATATCTCCTGCTTGCTGTTATAATTAGATAATTGTATTATAAAAGTTGTATGTATTCGACTAGCATTTAACTGCCTCACTAAACTGATAAATGCATCGACCAACAAATGTATTTAGCTGTATTCATATCTGTGTTAACCTTAATATGTAAATGGAATTAACTATTGTATTTAAACATATTTAGCTTTATTTTGATGTATTCTGATTTGTATTTCTTGAATATGTGTGATGTATTTCAAACTCCCATTTCCATTACCATAATCTATTTTCTTACTACACTTATATGTATTTAACGGTATTGTAACATTAAGTTAATACACTAACAATGATACATACAACTAACAGAAACGAGTGCTTAATGATCAATGTTTGGAGTCAAGAGGAGAGGGGAAAACTACATCAGAGGTGCCGTCCAACATACCATCTACTGGTCAAGAGGGTGTATCTATAGAATTCTATGTATCTCAATTTGAGCTGGACGACAAGTTTCTTCCCAGTCAAATTCCAGAAACGAGAATTGTGATTCACAACAGTGCAAAAAAAGCTGAATCAACCCCAATACCATCTCATAGGAATCGGCGACCAAGTAGATGGTACTCTTCGCCTTATGAGTATAACTTCGACTCCGCAGGTTAGTATTTTTATAAATTAAAGATTCAACTTTCCTCATGGTTTTTAAATTTAAAAGTCTCTAATCACGAATTCAATGAACAACATGTACCTCAGTAAAGTTGACCCCCATTTTTGAAAAAAGACACCCCTTTGAGGATGATTCAATAACGGGGCCACATCCTACGTTAATCATTCAGGAATATGACAAATGAGTTCGTGATGGTCTTCTCACTAGACATGATCAGAGGTGAGTTTTCCCCCGGTATGTGTATTAAGTTTTTATATTTTTAAAAATGTATATAATATTTTTTATACCATACTTGTAGAAGTAATTTGGAAGACCATTACAAGAAGAACAAGTCAACACTTTATATACCATTGGATTTTGGAGTTGATCAAGTTAATTCAAAAAATTGGTTTTACCTTCTATCGTTTGACGGGAAGCTATGGGATGACAACGTATGTTTTTTTTCCCTAACTGACTAATTTTCTTTGAATAACAACATGCTGTTTTATTCAGCGATATTCAGCTGTATTATTCATCTGCATTCAGCTGTATTCAGCTATATTCAACTGTATTCAAGCTATAGTCAGTTGAATTGAACTGTATTAATCAGCTATAGTCAGCTAAATTCAATTGCTATATTCAGCTTTATTCAACATCTGCATTTAGCTATATTCAGCTGTATTTTAGTGTATTCAGATGTATTCAGTTATAGTCAATTGAATTGAACTGTATTAATCAGCTATAGTTAGTTGTATTCAATTGAGGATGTCAGCTTTATTCAACATCTGCATTTAGCTATATTCAGCTGTATTTTAGTGTATTCAGATGTATTCAGTTATAGTCAATTGAATTGAACTGTATTAATCAGCTATAGTTAGTTGTATTCAATTGTTATATTCAGCTTTATTCAATATCTGTATTCAGCTGTATTCAGCTAATTTCAATTAAATTCAACTGTTTTAAGCTGTAGTCAGATGTATTCAACTGCATTTGTATTCAGATGTATTTAACTATATTTAGTTGAAGTCAAATGTTTTAATCTGCTATAGTCAGCTGTATTCAACTGCATTGCTCTGTATTCAGCTGTATTTAACTGTAGACAGTCATATTCAAGTCTTTAAACCATAAGTAGTCAATTGTATTATTCAATATTATTCGGCTGTATTCAGTTATATTCAGTTGTTTTCAATTGTTTTAATCAGATGTAGTAAGTTGTAGTCAGTTGTAGTCAATAGTTTTATTCACATACAATCTGTTGTATTCAACTGTATTTTTCACATGTATTTCTCTGTATTCAGCTATATTCTTTAATAGTTTGATTAATTGGATTCACACCATGTACTTAACTTTGTGTATAGCATATTGACGTCATATTCTACTATATGAAAAAGAAGGGAAAGTACAATCAAACAAGAAACTTCAAGTATACAACTGTTGATTGTATATTCAAGACAAGAATTGCTGAAATATTCGACAGGTATGCTAATACAAATAGTAATGCTAATGTAGCCAAAGAAGAGGATGTGGTATGTGAGTACATAAGAGGCTACAGATTGCATGCTAATGTACCTTGGCATACTGTGGACAATGTCATGATACCAGTCAACTTGAAGGACAAACTACGCTGGGGATTGGTTGTTGTCTCATTCAAGGAGAGATGTATCAAAGTGTATGACTCATACAGATCTACAGGTCATGATGCTTATGTAGTTTCTGAGATTGATAAGCTAGCTAAGCTTGTACCTCTGTATCTATCAATCAGTGGCTTTTACAGAGATAGTCAAGGCATAGATTGGTCTACTTGCTCAGCATACACTGACAAGTCACATAATGATCCCTTTGAAGTTTTTTTCATTTCAGATCTGCCTCAACAGAAAGCTGGTAGCATGTAAGTATTCAAGCATCATTATTGTATGTTATATACAAATCTATTGTATGAATTATTTTTAATTGTTTCAATTAATTATTTTTTAGGGATTGTGGGGTGCATGTTGCAGAATACGCAGAGTTTCTGAGCACTCTTGGAGAGATTCCACGAATAACATTTGATTCCACTCTACTCCGTCAAAGATATGGTGCTCTCCTCTAGGATTATGCTATGCGGAAGATAGACGCTGATGCCATAAGCGAGAATGAAGCACCTTCAAAGATTGCTAGGAAAATCACGGAGTCAGATTCAAAGATGCAGATAGTGTTAGAGTAGCTTTAGGTTATTGTAGTTTTGGAGTGTAGTTTCAAGATGAATACTATTTTGAGTAGTTTTTGGTGTAGATGGCATTTAGTTTGAAAAACTTATCACTTTATCAACAGTGTTCGTGTATGACAATTGCAACTTTTCAATCACTGTTTCACTGGTTTATTCATAAGTATTCATGCTTATTCTTCAGTTTGGATACATATTTATCTCACAGGATTCAAGTATGTGTTAATACCAAGTACCTTTGCTTGAACATATTTTAGTTAGTGAACATGTTAATGTCAAAGTCAGAAACTTTATGTATGCTGATGGTAGGTTATATAAAAGAATTCAGATATTTTTTTTTCTGGATTCAGTTGTATTTAACTGTCAAATTCAGTTGTATTTAGTTGTATTCAGCAGCATCCATTCAGATGTATCTTTCAAGTTCAGATAACACATATTAAAGAACACAATTTCAAATGTATTAAACAGGTTGTACGTAATCAGTTGTATTCAGATGTACTCAGTTGTATTCAGCTTGTTTTATTCAGCAGTAGTTAGTTGTATTTAAGTGTATTATTCAGTTGTATTCAGTTGTATTTTGGTGTATTCATTTACATTCAGTGCTACTCAACTATATTATTCATAAAAATACTTCAGTTGTATCCAGTTGTATTTTTTAGTATTCATCTATACTCAGTTATACTCAACTGTATAGTGCATATGTATTTATCTGTATAAAAATACTTCAACTATATGTATTCAGAAACTATTCACGAAAGTCATTTCAGAATATAATACTTGACAATGAGAATTTATTACTTGACAATGTTATCATAAGTATTGACAAATCGTTGAAGCACCAATACATGTCAGAGTGTTAACTATTTATTACGTGGAGTATTTCTACACGTTCACTTGTTATGTCCTCCCTACCCACATATGCTACATGAATGTTGATTTTTCGGCTGCAGCAATTCACTTAAAGTTTTATTGCGCTTCTTCTTTGGCCTTCCAGGAGGTCTTTTCTATTTGGGTGGTAGTACAACCTCCTCTGCAATATGTTCTGGTATATTCCAGTCATTTCTGTCCGGTAGCGGGTACACTGGCAAATCATATGTCATTACAATTGTATTTGGTTTGTAATAGTTAGAGCAATATTCTTCTGGCATTAGAAACTTGCTCTTCAATACAGCCCAAGCATGTGGGTATGGCAATTCATCAACTTGGAACCTCCCACAAACACATTTTCTCTCTAACAGGCAGATTGTGTAATTCCTCCCACCATCGTTAACCGTATGTAAGTATTCAGTTGATGGTACCACCTACATTTAAAAATAAAAATATAAGTTTTGAGCACATATATCTGAATTACCAAATGTATAATGCTGAATTAATAAGTTACATACAACTGAAAATTTTGCATATAGATGAATACATCAAATATTTAGACCAGCAGAATATCAACTGTAATTAATGTAGAACTTATCAGAATTCTGTTGTACTTTAGGCAACAGGATGCTAACAAAAGCATTAGAATCATACGTATTGACAATACATATTAAAATTACATATAATACAACTTTGTTAGTTATATTCTGATGTATTCCAATAGTTTTTGCATCATGTTTTTAGTTATATTCAGTTGTATTCATATCAGATCTACAGAAAAATATATCTTCTATGACTTTGAATATAGTTGTATTCATATGTACTAATGGTAGTTCTACTTAAAAAATCATTGTATTCATGCCATTAATTCAGTAACAATTAAGCTATATACAGCAATGACATTAAAATATAACTTACAGTCATACGTGTAGACATTGCCTCATTCAAAGTCAGCATCTCCTGGTATTTTTTTCCAAGCGTCGTGTATGTCTGTGTAGCTTCTTTGCGGTTACTACAATTTCAATGTCCAAACATCTTCCTAACTTCTTCGAGAAAGTCATATATTGGCAATTCCCTTGCTGAAACTAGTGCGGCATTGATTGACTCAACAATATTTGACGTCATTGTCCATCCCCTGTTAACAAGTGCATACAACCTAGTCCACTTTTCGTAACCAGCCTAAGTATTCTTTCACCCTAATATCTACCTTCTCCACCTTCTCCATCAGACTGTCAAATTCAGCTTGTGTGTATGTTTTTGCCATCGAGAAGTATATCTCGCTCAACTTGGCATGGCTCTTTTTGAATTTCTTATATACGTTGTTCCATAAATGTCATATACAAGCAAAATGCGGTACATCTGGATACACTCTCGATACAAATTTAATGATACTCTCATTTCTATATGAAACGATGCACATGTTTTCCCTTTCACCGTATGCTATCTTAAATTGCTCAAAGAACCACATCCAAGCAACATCGTTCTCTGAATCAATAACACCATATGCTAGTGGCAATATATGACCCGTAAATACAATTGAATATAATTATTTTTAAAACATGTATTTCAATATTTAAAAATATTAACAGATTGTATTATATTTCAGATACTCACATGCACCATCCAACGTGTTTGCCGAAATGAATGTCCCGGTATAGTAAGATTTTAGGTGACTTCCATCCACAACAACAATAGGTCTACAATGATCAAACCCCCTTATAAAGATATACAAGGATATATACACGTACATGAATTCATTTTTTGGCGATTTTACCATTCTGATGTGGGAACCTGGATATGTCATATTCATTGTATATAAGTATCCTGGTAATTTTTTGTATGAATCAGCCGGTTCACCTCTCAAAAAATTCATTGCCTTTTCTTTAGCCCTCTATGCCAACATGTAGCTAACATCTACACCTAAATCTGATTTCACATCATCAATAATATCTCTTGGAGTGTATTTCCTCTTATGGTTTGTAAGCTTAGGCCTTATCATACCACCTATAAGGCTGCTACTAGCCTCTCATACACCTTATCCTTCAGTGGACATGTATGGTTATCATTGAATTCTCTCACTTTGAATAGTTCTGATTTGTTAATGCTTGAAGCCTTAAACCTCCATTCACAATCTTCTGAAATACATAATAATGCATAGCTGCAAAGAATTAATTATTTTACATTTGATTAGTATAAGCGTTTACAAAAAATGCAGCTCATATACAGACAAATACAATCTGACATAGGTACATCCTGACATCTATATATATAAATTTTTATACTACTGAATTCCATTATAGTTATATGCATTTGAATACAATGAATACAACTGAATACACTTGTTTGTATATGCATACACTTAATATCACAGTAGACATAATAAGAAAATAATTAGAGCCACTTGTGTATTTATACCAGTAAAATACATATGAATACATGTATTTAAGTGCCCTAAACAAACATATGTTTACTTCATCTGTGATCATCTAGAGGAAATACACAAATACGCATAAATACAACGACGTTAAACTTACCGCTCGAACCAATAATCGAAAATACAACGGAAAAAAAAATTATATACATGCAAACCTGACAGCATTAGACCTAATAACCCGGAATTAAAACTTTTGAGCTATAGCATAATTCTCCATCACCTCTTTCAATGTAGCCTTATCCTTATAAATTTGTCCAGCCATAACCTCCTTTTGATTAGTTTTTGAAATTATCAAATCCTTGTGGATTTCGAACACTCCAATCGCTTCTCCCGAATTGAGAAAATCTAGAGCCACTGTATCATCTGTATCGGAATCGTACCTTTGAACTCCTTCATCTATTTGCACAATGTCGCCTTGATTTAAACTACCTCCGGATATAAGATCTTTTTCGATAGTTGTTATGCACAAAGGATAAATCCCAAATTCTCTGTGCTCTTTTTTCAATTCTACATACACTCTGTAACCCCTATCATTGTGTATTTCTATTGGCGTGCAATTTTCTTCTACTTTGTATTGTATTTTAATGGTCTTTGAGCTCAAATCTATACCCAGTTGATTAGAAATTGAAGCAACCAGATCATTAAAGGAGGCATACTCCTTTATTAGTATTCCCTCAATTGAAAAATCGATGTAATTGCCCTCATCGTTCCACTTGCCAGAATGATACAACAAAACTGTTAAACTTGCCATATGTATAGAGGATGAATACCTTATTTTGTATATAATTTGTATCAATCGAAAAAAGGAGAAGAGAATGGAAGAAGTTCGATCAGATGTTGCTCTGTTTTTTCGCTATATTCACGTTTCTGAGATGCTGTCTTTGAGCAGAATACAGATTAATGTGTACTAGTTTTAGTTCGTTGAGTTAATTTAGGAGAATATCATGTGATTTGATTTTCTTCCATTTTTAACCAGTTTAACCTTCCAGATTTTGCCCAAATACGTTACTGTATTTCACGTTAATGCCGCTTAAATATAGATAAATACATATCAGACTTAGCTGGAATTCCCGTTTTTACGCCTATTTTTTGTTGTATTAATGAATACAACATCTTAAATACATGAAATACATTGTATAAAGACATAAAAGGTATCTATAACACGTAATATAGCAAAGGGTATCTATAAATGGCTAATTAGACCTAAAAGATGGTTCTTTATGAAAAATTCTCTTTTTTTATTTATTAGATTGTTGTTTTATTCTATTTACAAATTACTTAAGTACCTTATTTTTAATGTGAGGTATTACAAATATGGTGGCTTGATTTGCGAAATTAATAGTGCTCTAATAGTTACTTGATTTGCCATGATATTTTCTCACAAGCTGTTAAGCAAAAATGTGAGACCTGTTCTGTAACCAATTGAAAATGCAAGAGCGATGGTGAATTATAATTTTTTCTTTTCTTTATCGAGTTAGTCGACTAACTTGCGTTCTAGTCGACTGGGCTTGTGATATGAGATGTAAACTGAATACAAGAAAATAAACTGTAGAAACTAAATGACACAAAATATTTTTATACTAGTTCACATTCAGAATGAATCCTACGTCTAGTCCCATTGGGTTGCAAAGGTGTTCTCTTTCAAGTATGAAGTAACTTGGTACATATGGGTTGATGTTGTTATACACCAACAGCTTTGTCACTTTGTTCTTTTCTCTATGCTACTAGTGTTCTTTTTCTCTCTTTCTTCTCTTCCTAGTTACACAATAAATCTATAGCAGACTACAGTGCTTGTTTGAAGTAGAACAAAGAGATTGATATTGGTTCGATCAAAGTATATTCTTCTTTTGCATCTTCTGTAGAATATATAAAGTGTTCGTCTCCATTCTTCACAGCGTGATAGTATAATGGTTGAAAGGCAACCCAAGGGAGTTGATTCTCAGACTCAATCAAGATGATTTTCTTCCAAGAATAGAATGGAGCTTATTTTCGTTGCTTCCTTGAATTCCTTTTCCTTGCAAGCTGTTGAGATGAATATTCTCTATTATGCGTGATAGACTATTCTCTATAGATCTTTTATAGAGATTGATTGATATTTTGGACTGATTAATTGACTGTCTGGATTGATTGATTGATGCCTTCCGTAAATAACTGAATCGAATATTCGTTTTCCATAAAGCTCGCTGTCACAACAAATATACTCCTTGATTCTTGTTTTTGGATCTTGACTCGCACATTTGACTCTTTGATTCTTGCTTTAAGATCTTCTACTAGAATTTTTTTCAATGATTGTGACATCCTCTTTTGGGATTGGTTTTTCGCCATTAGAATTGTGTTATTGTCTATCATTGAAACATATATCTAACAAGCTAATAAAGAAATAAAAAAGAAAAATATATGATGATACCCAATTAATTAAAAACTAAAGGGGTCATCTACTTTCTAATTCCGAACCTTAAAAAGGTCTAAAATTAGGATAATGATAATTAGCAGGTAGCTGCCAGTTTGCTAGTTGATATAGGGATATATAGCTTAGATAGTTTGCACACTATGTATTTAGTTTTTATATCATTTAGTTAAGTTAACATATTATAATAGATAAGTCTTCACAACAAACCTTATATAATAATGTATGCCGCGAAATTAGAGGGCATAATTTCTTGCTATCAAGTCACTTCAGAAGAATGTCTCGAGACCCTGAGTACGCGGAGTTGCGACCGAGTTCCCTCCCACGGGGCTCGTCGAGGACCAACTAAAAGAAGACGAAGATCGAGGCTAGAGCAAAATGGGAAATTCCCAAGGCACACGGCTAAGTCTGACAGTGCCAGCCTACCCAAAGCCTGTATCGAGGCGTCGCGTCTAGCCGTCCCATCTCCATGATTTTACAATTAATACATGTTGTACTATAAAAGGATTCCCCTCCTATATAAAGGGAATCCTCACCACTTTGTAAAGGGCTGCTGTTACTCCAACCATTCTACACAAGATCAATAACAACTCTCTCTCTCTCTTCTCTCTACTTACTCGCTCAAGGCGACTCTTTCCATTTATTGCTTTCATACTTGTTCTTCTTTTATTGCTTGATATTGGCCACAAAGAGCCTTGTTGATTATATCCTAACTTTTATTCCCTTCCCGATTATCCCCGATAGCTCGAGCTCGAGCCCAAGCATCGACCTCGAGGCCTTTCATCGATCAGTCCGAGGCCCGGGTAGCAAGCCCCTCGGTTTGATTACTGCCCCGTTTTAGCTTGTATTTCGTTGATTAAACTTCACATATCTAGAATCCATTGCTCTAACAACTGGCATAAAAATAGATCACGTATTTTTAGAGTCTCATTTACAAATTTAATTGTTATTACCATTTTCAATATAAACAGTTTGGCGCCCATCGTGGGGCTAAAAATAATAGTGATCATTTCTTGCTGGTTTCATTACACAACGCAAGTTATCTTTCACATTTTTTTATCCAAGATCTTTTGATTTCAGGACAAAATGTCTAGCTCAGTAAACAGAGTCGACAACAACGACCTCAGAAACCACTGGGAAAATGGTGTGGTTGTTCCAGTAGTCGGTGCGCCACCGTAGAATCCCGATAACGCACCCGGACAGATTTCAGCAGACGCGGATTCGCAGGACGCACAATAGGTCGATGAAACCTCACACACCGACAGGATCATGTGGCATGACGACCAACAGGAAGCCCAAAAAATCCCAGCTCGGGAAGAACAGGAAGTTAGTCTTCATATTATTTTCGAAATGTTGCAGGCACAACAGTTGGCTATCGCTCAGTTGCAAAGCCACCCGAAGACTCCCAGCACAATAGCATCAG